TGAATTGAGAGTGTTTTAAAAACATAAAGTTTCTTCATTCTTTGATTTTTTTTTTTTTTCCTGCAGTCCGACGTGTTTAAAATCATAAAATGTGATGTGAAAGGTAGAACTAGAGATCATGAATAAGGAGGGGCGTGCGCATATAAAAATTATAATAATGATTCCAGAAAGTTGAGGCATTAAAGGGCAGGAGGCGAAAAGTTGGCATTATGAGCCATTGTATCGGAAAGATCGACTTTTATGAATGACCACGATCATGTTCATGACGACGGGGCGAAGGTGGAGTCAGAATCTTTGAAATTGATAAGCCCCCTTTATACAGTTAATAAGCAAATTAAATAGAAGTGGTCCGTTAAAAAAAATTAAACCAAAAAAAAATCCAACGGTTCATGTATCTATGCAAAAAATAAAAAGATAGAATTATAAACTGTTCACGAGCTGTGAATGTTGGAACTCGTTTTGGACTTCATATTAATCTACGACGCAGGCACAGGCTCACTCTAATTCAAGGGAGAATATCCAATTGAATAATACCAAGATTATTCATTTTTGAACCAAGTAATAGCGGTAGCGAGGTTACATGATTGATACTCATCAAGAATTAACATTTATAACTTTTTTCAACTTACATGTCATAGATAATACAATATAGATGACCTGTTGTATTCGTCTCAATGCACAAAAACCACGTGGAATTATTTGTTTGGTATAAATTTATAATGCACGTAACAAATTATATGAGACTCGCGTTTTATTATCTGTGACGATATTGTTATGTGAATACGATATTGTTTAAAATTTACTGTGTAATCTAATTTCATCGCTTTAGGTGTTCCGGATGCGTGTGAGGATGTGTTGTGAAATCGTGACCAGGATTCTTCTTTGATAATTAGATGGAGTGTGACAATGCCAAAAAGAAATCAAATGCGAGGTTTCTAAAAAAATGAAAAAGCAAAAATACTTACAAAATGAGTAATAAGAAACATCATATATTCTAAAGTGAGTAAAATAGTAAAAATACTTATAGCATTATATGAGTGGGTGCAAAAATGATCAAACCATTAACTTTGATCTAACGTTGTTAACTTTAATTGTTAAATGCCGACTGTACATGTCATATGTTATGAATTAATAAAGGAGTAAAAATATTCACAAAGTCGTCGATTGGGAGCAAAAATATCCACAATATTACCAGAATTAATGTAAAGTGATTAATCCATCAAATTTCTTAAATGTTAATCATTTAACTGATATCTAAATAAAAGTTATCTATTTTTTTATTGATGTTGATAAAAAATATTTTCATATGAATTTTTACAGATGTTAATCGATCATCGTATGAATATTTATAATGTTACTTAAGTAGGTATAATAATGACCAATCTGTCAAAATCTATGCCACGTGGTTTTTTTTTCATCACCACATATCTCGTCTCATTCCTTCCTTTTTCTCTATTCATTGTTCTTGTTTGCAAAACTTGAGATTTAATATAGTGAGATAGGTTATATACAATCAAAGATCGAGATCGAACACATCTTATAGAGGACGTGGAAGCAGAATTGTGCTAGTTAGGGACAGAACCCTGAAACATGACAAAACACAAGAATAAAAAGAAAGGAACGAAATTTATGATGAAAATAAAGATAAAAATGAAATAAACAATGAGATAATGATCAAGGATAAGATCTTTTGAAACACCTACCTTTAAGAATCTCAATCTTCAAAAACACTATAAAAGTTGATCACACTCTTGATCATATCTGTTTCTTACAAGGGATGCCACCACAAAGCACTATATATATAGGTTCAAAGAGAAGATTATTTTCTAAATTGAAATCTTAATTCCTAATACTAAAAGAAGAAAGAAAATAGTAAAAAATAAAGGAGAAAATATTCAGCCACATAATTTAAGAGATGTGATCATGAAATTATGAGATTACAAAATTTAAAAATTAAAAATAATTTAATTAATTCTAACATTTGACTAGACTCAAAATAAAAAACTATGACTAGTCTTGCTACTTAAAAAAGGGAGTCAAGTCAAAGGACCACTAAAATAGAAACCAATCAAGAGACAATCAATGGATCATAAATGATTGAAAATCATGTTACCCTTAACTTTTTCACTAGGGTTTCATGCCTATTTGCAAGAGGCTTCACTTGTAGTCTTCCTTATATTGGGCTAGGGTTTGCACTTTTTTAGCCTGACTATTCATGAATTTAGATCTTAAACACATTATACATGCTTAAACGCTCTTCTTTAGGCTTGAGATGAGTGCCCTAATGCTCTTTGAGCTCTTGGACTTCTTGCACAAGACGGATAAGGCTTGTTTCATGGCTTTAGTTTAGACTCTTGTCATTGGATCTCCAATATGTTGTAAAGGGTTTTTAAGCACATTGAATCTATAAGTGTTGAGCTCCTTGCTCATTACCTAAGGCTCCTTTCATGTCACAATACTTATGATTACCATCCTCAAGTTTTGTTGCCATCAATGTCATGTCATTCGTGCCATGAAATCCATCATACCTCCTTCACCGCCCTACTTTAAGAACATTGTTATAATTTTAAACAATTTCATTTATGATAAGTTCAAAATTTTTAAATGATTTTCGCTACTGCTGCAAAGAAACAAATGATATAATTTGATATTTGGTCAAAATGATATTTCTTATATTATATTCATATAATGATCGATTAATTTTTAAAGAATTTAATTTAAAAATATTTTTTGTCTATATCAGTGAAAAAATGATCAAATTCTACTCATGTCAGCTAAACGGTTAACATTTAAAAGATTTAATGAATTGATTACTTTTGCACCAACTCTGATAATGTTATGGGTATTTTTACTTATGGTCAATTATTTTGTGAATATTTTTACTACTTTATTAATCAATGTTAATAAAAACTGACATGTGACATACACAATTAATAATTATAATAACATTAAATTAAAATTAATAATTTAATCATTTTTATATTTATTTATATAATGTCATAAGTATTTTTACTTTTTTTTATTTTAAAATATTAAGTGCTTTTAATTAATTATTTTATAAGTATTTTTGTCCTTCAATTCTTTTTAAAATATTACTGATTGACCGGAATTCTCAGAGTAATGTAGCTGGACCATTGAACAGCGGGTACTCTAGTCCCTGGACGATGTATAAATTTTTTCAGCCGGACAGCATACGAACCACTCAGTTCAGTTCGTAAATATATAGATGTTAGCTGTGATACATATTTCAGAGATGTTGTCGCGTTGATTGGGATAAAATATCCAGTCATAGAAAGCTGTCCTTGTCTGTGCATGTGTATATATATACATATCATATACATTATGTGTGTGTGTACAGATGTACCGCTAAATAATAATAAATAATATACCCAAATGGGCTTGTGGTCAGGGCCTCAGAACGTACGCTAGAAACTGGCAACTTAATTCGAATATTTTGTTTTCCGGCAGTTCCCTGTACATCGACCTTCGGTGAAAGCAACTCTTATCAATTCAATGGTACAGGTTATTTCATAAGCGCTGCTTCTTTGATTATTATGATTTCTGACTCAAGTTCCTTCGCTGACTTCAACCACCACAAAAAGAATACATTACATTAAATTATTAATGCATCCGATGGCTTCATAATCTTCTAGAACAAGAATCATGTTATCCTTTATTTTAATTTTCATTTTCTGATGGTCAATGCTTATGATCTGTATGACTTCTCATTTTTTCCACACGGATTAATTTTGTCTCGTATATTCGACGGCTGTTTTTATTATTATCACTGTTCATTCCTGTTAAAAGATGAAATATACATGTCCATGTTAACTTCTTCAAATCTTTTAAACTTCATCTTTTACGAAAGAGCAAAAAGAGTATATTAACCTGTCATGAAATGCCACAATTTAAATTTTAAAATTCTTTTTGGCCAAAAATTTGAATTTTAAATTTCAGAAAGCCATATCCAAGACTTAGATTCATAATCCGGCAACAACTGAATACATGGATATGAAATCATGCGAAATCATTTGGAAGCTATTCAGACGATTATTGATTATTAAAAAGAGAGTATGTCAGCGTTCAAACTCAAAAAAATTTGTAACATGAACAGGCAGGCATGTATGCTTCCGCTGATAAGGAATGAAAGACTCGGATCGGACCGTCAAATTTATCCGCTTTCAAGTTCTGCGAAGCTTCTCGGTCTGACTTTTTTTGCTCTGCTTTTTTATTAATTACTTTTCCTCAATGATTAGGCCCCACGTCTCATGTCGAATTTTCGTACAACTTAACCAGACGAGTTCATATATGCTTTTCAAACACAATAAATTCCAATATTCAACCTCATTTATAATTTAAAGCAATGGTGAACATGTTACTATATATATTAATGTTTAAAAAATTGCTAATAAACATGTAAAATTTTCAATAAATATTATGAATTAAATATGTCAACTAAAATAGGTGAAAGAGAACTCCAATAACAATATTTTTATTAATTCATCCAAAAGTCAGATAAAAGGGAGGATTTGTCTAAAAAACCTTAGTCTTTATGTAAAAAAAACTAATCTGAATTATTTCTATTTCCACGTCCCATCAATTTTCCGAGTATGCAACTGGAGTCTATTCTATTGCTGCAGATTTTAATTAAGGGTTGAATACAAAATGCGGCGTAAACAAGCGTGGATGCGAGAGACATTATGAGTAATGGGCAAACAATTGGAGGTGGAGGTGGAGACTGGAGAGGTGACGTGGCAGGGAGCACACCCACCCTATGACCAGGCAGTGATGTACAATAGTGAATAGAAAAACACAAACACAAAATGCGGGAGCGTGGATGCGAGAGATGAAACAATTGGAGGTGGAGGTGGAGACTGGAGAGGTGACGTGGCAGGGAGCACACCCTCTATGACCAGGCAGTGATGTACAATAGAATAGAAAAACACAAACAAGGTAGATGCAGCCGCGCCAGAATTCCCCATCCTCCTCTCGGTCCATTACTTGACTGCATTCCTCTTCCCCCTCCTTGTCCTCCATTTATAAACTCCTTTCTTCACCCTCTCTCCATTCTTCCCCCTCCCCCCCTCCGCCTCAATTTCCGCCATGATCAAGACCCTCTCTCTCTATGGACTCTTCCTCCTCCTCCTCCCCACCCTCGTTGCTCCTCAGCCCCCCTCCAATGACCAAACCGATCAGCTCAACAACTTCACCCCTTCCATGGCAATCATCATCGTCATCTTGATCGCCGCTCTTTTCCTCATGGGCTTTTTCTCCATCTACATCCGCCACTGCGCCGATTCTCCCTCCGGCAGCGTTCGCCCCTTGGGACTCGGTGCTTCCGTCCGTCGTTCCAGGCGTGCTCCTCGCGGTCTCGACCCGACAGTCATCCAGGCCTTTCCCACCCTTCAGTACTCTCTCGTCAAGAATCACAAGATCGGCAAAGGCGCCCTCGAGTGCGCCGTCTGCTTGTCCGAGTTCGAAGATTCCGAAACCCTGCGTTTGATACCCAAGTGCGATCACGTCTTCCACCCAGAGTGCATCGACGAGTGGCTGGCTTCCCATACCACCTGCCCCGTCTGCCGAGCCGACCTCGTTCCTCAGCCCGATCAGTCCGTCCGCGGAGTTCCGAGCGTCGACCCCGATGCCGTGGACCTTGAAGCTCAAAACCAAGTCGTGGAACCAGAGCCCGAGCAACAACATACTATGGAGGCTTATCCCGAACCGGCGGAGCCCGAAGTTCTATGCCTCAATCAGACGATGAGACGGAACCGCACGCGAGGGTCTCGATCGGGTCGGACGCGGAGGTTTCCCCGGTCGCACTCGACCGGGCACTCGTTGGTCCAGCCGGGCGAGGACACGGAACGTTTCACTCTGAGATTGCCCGTGGAAGTGAGGAATCAGATATTGAACCGGGAATTACATCGGTCTACAAGCATGGTTGTGTTGCCGAGGGAAGGTAGCTCGAGACGGGGCTATCGAATTGGCGGTGATGGCAGCAGCAGAGGGAGGTATTCGAGGCGGCTGGACCATGGTATTAAATCGGACCGATGGGTTTTCACGATGGCGCCGCCGTTCCTTGTGAGGGCATCGTCCATCAGGTCCCCGAAAGTGGGAGGGAGAGCCGGTGAAGGAACCTCCGCTCAGCCGGTCGTGCCGGCGGCGGCGGGTGCGGCCAGGCCTCTGGTTTAACGGTCGCTTTGCCTGTGCACTCACCCAACATTTTTTAATCTACACATCTTCTTTATCTCTTATAGTCAACTGATTTCCTCCCCCCTCTTTTTCATAATCTGCGGACATTTTGTTGTAGCTCCAAAATGTATAAAATGTGTATAACAATATAATATTTTTTTTAATACCCGAGTTCGGAACCGAAAGCAATATAAATCTTGTGAACCGATTGAAATGTGGTGTTCCCGCGCGGGGCATGTGGGAACTATTTTAGTGTGTTGGAACTGGAGGCATCCCTCTGGTCCTCTTTAGCACGACTTATAAATAGAAATTACATTTTAAATTGTATTTTATAAATGAGACAAGATGGAGTGTTTATTATTGTGGAGTTGGGACAACATGGTCCAAGTTTTGGGCAATGGCGGCTTGAGGCTCCTCCAGTATAGATAATTTGAATTGGAGCCATTGGGCATTTACACGCACGTGGGAGTACCAAGGAGACACAATCACAAAACGGCATGCATGGTTTGAACTGATGAATTGAAATTAGGTGGGTGGAGATGAGATTCGAAAATGAGACGAGTGGAGGGTGAAGGGGCATTGATACTTGGGCATAGCTTGCTTATAACGCCAAAACTCTCCGTCGCCTTCCTTGACTTGCGCATATTAAAAGCTTTTCGATTCGCAACTGGTTATTTCTTTTATCGTTCTAGGCCGTGATTGGTCTCGAAGTTGATATTATTAGGTGGGGATGAAGGTCCCAGAATATTATGGGGCCACCCACCCACTAACCCACCCCTTCTTTGACTCCCACACTCTCTTGGCTGCCATCCCCTCCACACGGCTATGCTCCTTGCCACACGCATCAAAACTCTGGACAAGCTGCGCACAAGTTGCCACCTCACCATGAATGCATGTCTACTGTATATTTTCTGTCATCATGCTACTATTTTTATAACTCCATCATTGGTCGTTCCCTGGTTTTACAACAAATTTAACAGTATGTCTGGAAGATTGATGTATTTGAATTTTGAGATTCGTGTATTTAAGATATTTTGTTTTGATAGTACTGTAAATTACCAAGCTATTAATTTAACCATTGATAAAGGAGGTTTGGCTCCACCTTCAATTGATTCGCTTCATTAACTCACCGTCGCTGCAGTCGGGATTGATCCAAATGCCACTCACTGTCGCTACTCAATAGTCACTGATTACTGTGTTGAAACTTTTGCTTTGTTTTGTGTTTTTTTCCCAAATGTAAAGGCTACTTTTACATTATTATTTTTTATCCTAGAAAAAGGCACGTATAGAAGTATTTATATAAGCAAAGAAGAACATGGTCTTTTTTTTTTTTAATAATACAAAGACACAGAATTTTTTTTTAAAAAATAACACTAACCGAGTGAGCGCTGAACGCTATTCAAGTTATTGAACGTTAAATTTTAAGGAATCATCTTCATTTATTTTAAATATAAAATTTATTAGAAATATAAACTTGATTAAAGATAGAATGAAATAAAAAAAAAATTATGATATCCCCTCTATTTAAAAATGTAAGACATTTTTAATTAAATTTCTTTCTTTAATAAAATAATTACCTACTTTTAAATTAATCTTAATTTTTTATATTTATCCTTATTAAACACTTAGAGACACTTAAAAAAAAATAATTATATTTTAAAAAATTAAAAATATTTTATATCTTTAAATATTAAATTTTTAAAAAATATTTTATATTTTTAAATGAAAAGAATAAATAATAATGTTTGATTTAAAAATATTAAATGGTAAAATAGGCAAGAAGCTCATGCCCAATACCTGGAATAAAGGGGATATGGATTGGGTAAATATTTGCATAAGTCGGGGGTTTTCATTGGGCCCAAAAATATAAGCGAATGGCTCCGGTTTCTGAACTTCAACCTGGGGCGGAGACGGTGGCGACAAGAGCGCCAGAGAGGGGTGGTGGTTGCGGGGGAAAAAGATGGAAAATGGAGAAGAGCATCAAACTACAGAAGGCAGTAATAACAGCAGTAAGAAGAGCTCCGTAATGATAACAATACCATCCTATCAAGAAGTTCTTGAAAGTTCCCAGGCAAGATCTACTCCGCCCTCCCTTTTCGTCCCCTCGCAAACCTTTTCCCAGGCTTTTTCGTTCCTGAAATCCTCTGAGTTCTACTCTCCTCCTCCCTCCGCCTCTTCTAAGCCTTCACCATCTTCTCAGTCTTCTGACTCTAGCGTACTAAGGTACTCATTGCTCCATTCTATTCCTCCTTTCAATTGTTTTATACTCTTCTTCGTTAGGGGGTGCGCTTTGTAGCACAGACATTTTTTTTTTTTGGGCCAAATGGGGTTTGGTTGACTTGCGTGAAAAATTTCTTCAGACTCATTTGTTCTTCGGGCTTTCGCACCAGATATGCGATTTTCCGATTTATCTGGACATGTAATTGATCAAATAAAGGATAGCATTTTTGTTCTTCCTCCATGCTTAGAACCCAAGAAAGCTAGGAACTGTGCTCAATTAAGTGCTGTGAATATTAGCAAATTGAAATTTCGAGTCACTTGCACTCCTTATCGTGTTAGTATGGCATTAATAAAGTTATAACTTTAGATATTGCTTTTTCTCCGTCTCTTCACGACTGAAGTTAAGTTTCTTAGTCCATCAATATTCTGATTAGGCAAACTGGTCAATTTGTCGATCCATCTTCAACTTCTACCTCTTCAGCTGTTTCAAGGTCAACATCCTCCCAACTCACTTCAAGTCGCAATGCAATCCTTGTGAGCCACAGACAGGTAATATGTTCTTATCCTATAAGGAGATTTACCAAAATTAACTTTTTCTTAAACCTTCACATAGGTTGCAGGAGTCTGTTTCTTCATTTTTGAGCGCTATTAATGCTATTTTCAGGCATGCTGAAGCTTCTTTTCTGGCCATGGTCTTATGATATGAACATTCATATTTAATCTAAAAGGCATTTCTTTTCCCTTTTGCAGAAGGGAAATCCATTGCTCAAACATATTAGGAATGTCAGGTGGACATTTGCAGATGTTGTCTGTGACTACTTGCTTGGGCAAAGCTCATGTGCTCTCTACCTCAGGTTCTAGTCTCGTCTTCTCTAGTCAATATGCTAATTATTCTAGGGAAGTTACAGTTGATGGTTAGGATGTCATTTGTTTATATGCTAATTTTGAAAATAAAAAAAAAAATATTTACAGAGAATGGGATCCCAAAAATCTCTTAAAAAAAAAGAAAAGAAAAAGAAAACCATTTAAAAATCCTTCAAAAGCATACATCAACGCTTAGCAGAAGCAAACGGATTATAACATATAATAAGAAAGCAGGGCCAAGCTGCCATTTTAGGTAAACTGAGTTATATGCTGTGGCATGTGGTATAAAGCCACAAGCCCATGTTCTGCTTGGCTGCGATTTTGTTTTTCACATCAAATTACCAAATCACCTATTGTCCTGGTCCTCTTTATCATTGCTAGTGATGCCTGCTGGTTCCAAATCTTACCTACCATTTGATGCATTACACGATATATTAATGACCCATAAAGTTAAATTTAGTCTTAAGTTTTTCAAAAATTTTGATCTCTCATAACAAGATTCTTATCTTGTGATTCAATGAAGTGAGTAATCTTTGTTGTGTGGAATGCTTTAAAGAAGATTTTTTTTTTAATCATCTTTCGTATAGAATTATTTGCAGTTTAAATAAGTGACAAGTTTTTATTGCTATGTGAAATTTGTAAGGTTCTTAGTGTTTTCATATTAATTCATCTACCTAACTCTAGTCAATGGTTTGATGTAGTCTTCGTTATCATCTCCTGCATCCAGATTACCTGTATTACAGAATAAGGGAGTTGCAGAAGAATTTCAAGCTCCGTGTAGTCCTGTGCCATGTTGATGTGGTCAACTTCCTTGCCATCTACTTCTGAATTTTGTCTACCAAAGGGTCTACTTAGATGCCTAAACATAGTGGGTTTACTGTATGAGTAAGATAGATTCTATGCTTTATTCCTATTGGTTTCAGGAGGATGTGGTGAAGCCTCTACTTGAAGTTACTAAAACTGCGTTGCTTCATGACTGTACCCTTCTATGTGGATGGAGGTAATATTGACATACCTTCTAACTGCATATGGAGCACGAATGTTAAAAAAAAAAAATGTCATTTCAGCTCCTTGAATTCTGAGATTGCTGCTAGAATTTACTACAGTCTGGAGAATATCTTCGTGAACTCTGATTAGCAATCAGAGTTACCATACTCCTGTTGTTACATGTTACTACTTTGTTAGGGGCTTTATTATCTTTATATGTTATGTTGTTATTGTCTCTTATATGTTGCTGAATTCTAGGTAGTTATTGACAGTGTAGGACCTTACCTCTTGGGGCACGTGTCTAGGTTTAGGGTATACACTGCATCCTACCCCCTTGCCTCATTTTTGTGAAATGAATTAGCTTCTTCTTCCCTGTCTCCTTCTCTCTTAACACCTATTGAAGATGAAAACACTTGAAGAATATTATTATGAGTAGCTTTCATAGCAGTTGGTTATTGTCAAGGTGACAGAGTTACAGATGAATATTGTAAGCAGTATCTGTACTTTCCTTTCAAGTCTTGAACTGCTGTGGCATGCGTATGAATCTCAGTGGCTGTATAGCAACTAGGAGGATTCCTTTGACCTGTCTACTTGATTTTACAGCCTTCCATTCTGCTGTTGCTATAACTGGGAATAATGTGGTCATTGCTATAATGAGATGCATTTTAATTTTATAATCTGTAGTAGTAAGTAGGGAAATTCCTCTGATCTATATGATTTTATTAAATTTCCGGTCTGTTGTGTCTGCAGCCTGGAGGAATGTGGTCGTTACTTGGAAACAATAAAAGTTTATGAAAACAAGCCCGCAGACATTATCCAAGGCCAAATGGATACAGACTATCTCTCACGGGTATATTGTGACGTTAGGTCTATAAATCTTTTTATGCAATAATAATAGTTAATGATAATTCCAATTGGTTATATTACTATAAAAGCATTGTCTTTTGGTTGGACTTTTTCTGCTCATTGAATTTTTCAGCATGTTCAATAATTGTGCTGAAGCTTTCTTACTTTCAAATGCAGCTAACGCATGTCCTTACAACAGTTCGGCATGTTAACAAGACTGATGTTGTCACCCTTGGAACTACATTTGGGGTACATTTATATATTTATTTATTGTACACACACACACAGATTCACATAAATTAACAAAGTGAAATTGCTATTTTAGTCTTTGTCTCACATCATGGGTGCATCTATGGAAGATCTGGCACGCTGCCCTGGCATTGGAGAGCGCAAGGTATCTTTCTAGTGCTAGAAGTGAAAAAAGTTAGGCTTTTAATTTTTATTTTCTTTTAGCGTGATTACATGATTTGATGCCATAGTTCACACTTCACAGTTGCTAACAGTATCAAAGAGCGATGGCAATTTCAATTTTGCTCATCTAGAAGCTCTAAATATTATGAACATTTTTTGACGTCAGGTCAAGCGATTGTTTGACACTTTTCATGAGCCCTTCAAGCGGGCAGAATCTAGCTGGCAAACCATTCCAGAGACTTCTGGCCAGAATAAGGCAGCTAGTCCCAAGACTTCAGTCCAGAACGATGCTGAACCTTCTTCCTTAAATGAAGACAGGCATGAGGATGCAGATAATGTTGGCAAAAGAAGGAAGAAAGAAACTGAATTGACTGTCAAGTCGGCCTTATCTGCAGCTTTTGCCAAATATGCTGACAGAGTTGGAAGAAAAAACGACACATCGGAAGGGGATGAGAGGGGAGAATCGAGTGATTAAAATAATTGGGAATTTTTCTGCAGTTGATTAATATTGATTTATCCGACAGCCTGGGCTTTCGAGATTCAGATGATTGATTTACAATCTTTGCTCTAGAACTTTTCTTGGTTGGCCGTCCGGGAGCTGTCTGTGCTCCATTCTGTTTATAATCACCATGGTACTTGCTCCCACCCGAATATTACTAGATTGGACCTTGGACTACATTAGACGAGTGCAATCGCCAATTGCAGATCAAAATGGTGAATGCTGTCAAATTGCTCGGTGCAATATAATCTCTCATGCAATTTGTAGAACATTTGTTGTTTATATATGGTTGAACTAGTTTTGCTTGAAGTTTTCCTTGGAAACACATCTGTTCCTCCATCTTTTGGGTCCCATCGACAATAAGCCCTTTGCCAATAAATAGATCGTGTCTTGAAAAAAAGTGAATGAGCTTTCAATATTACAGTCGTGGTACCTCCAATGTGTTCGTTATTTTCCTACTTGCCAGTGAAGGCTCTTGTTTGTTCTTGGTCATTTTTTTCCTTTAGCCAAAACTGACTCGGTATCAATTAGGTGCATTGGCATGTCGATTTCAGATGATTAGCTATGGCATTCTGGGCCTTGGAATGGCATTAAACTCTTCAAAACAATGGAAAGTTGCTGTCATTTTGCAATATATATACTTTAACTAAAAAAATTCACTCCCTTGCATGTTGTACCCTTCCAAGTGTTCGGCTTCATTTCTATACGAAAGAAAAGCGTGTAGAATGAAGAAATTGTAGAGTCTGAGGGGATTTTTAAGTAGATTTGGGGTAGTCTATCCGTCGTTCATGTTGTTTAAGGGCCCGACTGTATTTTATCAGATGAAGTCATGCAGCCCATAATGCCTCAGTCTTCCAAAAATAGTCAGTTGGCTGCTAGCCTTTCAACTGTGAATTTGATCCGTTGTGCAGCAGCTAATGGCTCGGCCATGTTTATGAAATCTTAATGAACTACATGCACTAACGGAAGATGGGTTTCTGACAAGTGGCACGAGTGGTTGCACTACATATGTCATTAGCGGCCTATAATCTGCTTCTAGCTGTGTGCACATCGCAGCTATGGCTGCTACCCATAAACCAAAACAGCAATACGAATCAGACAATTAAAGGGACCAAATCATATCACTCCAACAAGTGACAGTGGCTATCAATTAAGCAAATTGAAGTGAACTAGATCCTTCTTAGAATACTGTCCTCAAGATACGATTGGCTTTTCTTCTTTTTTTGCTGAAGCATGGAACATTTTTGTGTTCTTATCACCATAAAGTGACCACTCACGCTTTGACTTTTGAGCCCATAAAAGCCCTTCATGCACCAGTACTTCTTCAAGTTCCTTCCATAAGCGTTTTTGGATTTTACAAGTTTAGTGCTGTCATTCTCAGTGCCATAGCTTTGTTAATTTCGTCCAAGCACCTTAGTAAGGATTTCTTACGGGAGCTTAGGTGACCACAGACTTGTCCGTTCCATGCACTACATTCACAAGTAAATTTGGAAACCCCCTCATTCCGCCCGTCCTTTACAGTGCAGGTATCCTTAAAGAAGTGCTCAAATTTCTCATGTAAGACCCAAGAAGCAATGAATCTGAACGGCCTATCATTGACCTCCCTACCACCAGGTTCAAGTTGTAGTAGCATGGGTCTATGATCAGACTTCAGAGACGCCAAGTGTGTGATCGTTGCAGTAAGGAAAGCATCAACTCTGCCAACGTTAGCAATAGCACGATCAATTCGACTACTACAATCACCCCGTTGCTAAGTGAACTCGGGTTCCATAAGCCCCAAGTCTATAAGACCAGAAGTATCAAACCATCACCGAAAATCCACATCTACATGTGAAGCCCTGCTTGATGACATTAAAGTCTCCTGCTATACACCATGGTCCGTCCAGATTTGATTGAATCCGGGCTAACTCCCTCCAAGGAATTCTACAAACACTCACATTTGGGTTAGCATAAACAAGAGAGATGGGTTTTGCATTGACAGGGGATGGATGAATTGGTGGGCTGCAAATAAAAAAAAAAAGATTTCTGGCTGTTTGATAATTTTTAAAAGAATTATCTCACAAGATACTATTTTAGTTTAAAATATATGCATTTTTATTTTAATTAATTTTAATTCAAAATATAAATAATTTTGTATTTACAATTTTTTATGTTATCCTTTGTATTTATTAATATAGATTGTTGTATTTGTAAATCCATAACCTTTTTATCACTCATGATGAATTGAAATTAAAAGTTAAAAAAAAAGAACAATATATATTTTTACAATAATAAAAATTTTATTGATCTATAATTTTTTGTTAAAAGTTTAAAACTGTTTACATGAGGTGGAGGAGGTAGTTATTAAATACCATGATATTCATTGATAATAAATTTTATGAAGTTAATTATGCCGCGGAAGAATTGGTGTACTTTTCTCATAATTTTTCCCTGTGGCTTTTCCGTTTTTTTTTTTTTTTCCTGTTTACGGTTTCCTTCGGAACCGGATCTTCTCAACGTCTAAAATTCTCAGCGTCTCTCAACAGCCAAATTTGATCCATCCAAGTAGTTAAAATTTGATTAATACACACATCACATGATTATTAAAAATACATGTAAATAATTTATTTTTAAATAGTTAAAAAATATATTTTGAAATATTATGTATGGATAGAAATAGATCAAGCTTAAATCAGATTTTAAATAAACAGGCTTAACCTATTTATAGAAATAGGTTTAATTATAAATTTAAACACGATTTTTTTTGTTAAACAGATTTTGTCAAAATTTAAACAGGATAAATTATTTGTCTCTATAAGCCCATTTACTTATTTTAATATAATCAACTTTTTTTTAAATAGGCCTAACCTTACCTGTAGAAACATATAAGTTATCCTATTTAAATTTTGATCTTTCTGTTTAACAAAATGATTATGGTTAAATTTATAATTAGACTTATTTATATAAATAGGCTAAGCCTGTTTATTCAAAATTTGACTTAATCCTAACATATTTTGATTCATCTATTATATTTTAAAACATATTTTTTATTATTTAAAAATAAATTATTCACTTATATTTTTAATAACAAGGTAATGTATATATTAATTAGATTTTGATTACTTGAATGGACTAGATTTGGCTATTGAGAGATGTTGAGAAATTTAGATGCTGAGAGGATCTAGATTCGTTACATTCCTTTTTGGAAAAATGACAATTAACTTTTAAAGGATCAATTTTATTTAAGATAAGTCCTAAGACATTTTGAAATACTAGTTAAGTCTTCAAGTCCTTGAGTGGCAATTTAATATAATGAGAAATGACCAAAACACCCTTATTTGGCTGGTAAAATTTTGAAGTTATTCATTCTCTACTCTACCCTACCTTGTGATTACTTGTTCGTCGTCTTTTCCTTACCCTGTTCGTCGTCTCTTCCCTGTCTCATTGCAAGCGAGTAAAACTCTTTGTCATCTCTTCCCTAAGCTGTCCAATAAATTTGTCCATCATTCCTATTCTAGTCCTATCTGATGTCTCTTCTTTTCCCTAAGCAATCACTTGCTTAGGTCATTAATCTATAATTTGTTTTGGTCATTAATCTTTAATGGGTGTGACGCATTTGTCTCGCTGAAGAGTCTGATCCTCATCAACATTCACCATTCTGATTATGCAAAAATTGCTTCTTCTTCAATTTTTTTCCCTGAGTGTCTTGGCTGAAGGTGGACTATGCAGTTTGTACAAGTGAGGATATGCTCAAATGAATTTTAAGTTTGAAGTTATACATTATACCCAATCAATCAAGCTTGCAACTTTGTAACTTTCTAACTTGTTTTCACACTTTTATTCCCAACTTTTAATATTGAAACGTATTTGTAATGTTCAAGTTATACATTGTACCTAATCAATCAAGTTGCCAAGCAACTTAGGTGCCCAATTTTGCAACTATCTCAAGACAAATTTGCCACTACTTGTTAAAATTTTGGGTGGGAGAACTATTAAATTTTTAAGAAAGTTATTGTTCTAGAACAATGCTCTAGTAATTTGTAACCCTTTTCAAAATTTTGGGTGAAAGAACTATTGAGTTTTTAAAAAAGTTATTATTCTAAAACAACATTCCAATAATTTACAACTGAAATACTAAATTTTATAACTTTCTTACAAATAATTTGCAACTTCTTTTTGAAATTTTAGATGGAATAACTATTGAATTCTTAAAGTTATTATTCTACAACAATGCTCCAGTAATTTGCAACTAAGACATTAGATTTTACAACTTCCTTACGAATAATTTGCAACTCCTTCTTAAAATTTTAAGTGCAAGAACTATTAAATTCTTGAACTTGCAAAGCTATCAAATTATTTTAGGACATAGCTCCAGTAATTTACAATTGACATACCAAATTTTACAACTTTTTTACGAATAATTTGTAACTCCTTCTCAAAATTTTGGGTGGAATAACTTTTGAATTCTTGAATTTGCAAAGCTATTAAATTATTTTAAGACAACATTCCAGTAATTTGTAATTGATATATCAAAATTTTCAACTTTTTTATGAATAATTTGCAACTCCTTCTCAAAATTTTAGGTGGAATACTTTTAAATTATTGAACTAAAGCTACCCAATTATTTTAGAATATGGCTCTAGTAATTTGTAACTGACATATCAAATTCTGCAACTGCTTTACGAATAATTTACAACTCCTTCTCAAAATTTTAGATAGAATAATTTTTAAATTCTTGAACTTGCAAAGCTATTAAATTATTTTAGGACAATGCTTTAGTGACTTGCAACTGACATGCTAAATTTTATAACTTTCTTGTGAATAATTTGCAACTCCTTCTTGAAATTTTGGGTGGAATAACTTTTGAATTCTTAAACTTGCAAAGCTATCAAATTATTTTAGGATATGGCTCCAGTAATTTGCAATTGACGTACTAAATTTTGTAACTGCCTTACGAATAATTTATAATGCAGTTGAACCAATGTCATATGTGAGCCATGTAGCTGAACTATCATAACTTTTGCCTTCAAAATATTTTCCTTCAACTTTGCTTTAACATTTGAACCAACTATGCTTTTTCATTTACTCATGACTGTCTTACTTGCAAAATTTTTTTTGTTCAACTTGTCTCTATGCTCATTTATAAAAACACATATATTATGCCTCCTCTCCTCAAGAATCCATACATTGAATGATTCGGCCAAGTTAGTTGTTATCTTATCCCATCTTCAAAATGGAAAAAACGATAATGCCCACTAATTAACATCGCCTTGATTTTCAACCTATCTTACTAATTGTGGAGAGAACATCATCAAGAATCCTTTAATGAAACAACTATATGCAATAAATAATTGTTCAAATATATTGTTCTCAAAGGCCACCCATTTTGCTACAGTGTTAGCATCAGTCTTCATTAATCTATTATACAACCAAGGAACAAGCATATATGATTAGTTAGGAAGCTCATTTATTTTCACTTATACCTTCTCTTTTGCTCTTAAGGCTTGATGATAAGTTAGACTTATGCCATAGTCTCTATATATGTTAGCTTTAATTTTATTGGGTCTTTTTTTCACATTAGACCTTAATACGTCATCAATTATAAACGAAGTCTTGTACTGTAAGAAACTTCAAGGTTTTCTTGGGTAGAATGTAAGTGCTCGTTCTTGAAAGTTGTTACACAAAGCAAGGGCATTGACTTCCTTATTGAATATGTTGTTATCTTCCATTGACATCATTTTGCCTTGCATTCTGTAATTATTTTATTTGTATTATTCTTCACAAATTTATATTAAATTTGTGTGTAATATTATACTTATAGATTACTTGTCTACAATTATCAGCACTCTAAAAATTTACCCAGGTCTTACTAGCAAATCCTTTCATTTTGTTACATTTAGCTCAGGCATTGGTATTGGGATATATTGTATTGCACAGGTAGAACTTCAAGATCATGTGTAGCATGTGAATTCCTAGCTGAACATCTTGCTCTGCATTTTCATTCAAATCATGTTTATTACTACCATTCATATTCATATTAGCATAATATTAATCATTCAACTATTAAAAATACTTATCCATCAATTGAATCTCTTATTGCATCTATACTTTGCTATATCTTCCCAATGATGTACACATGAGCAAAATTATCGTTCAACTTCATTAATTAATTTATCCCTTCATCATCTTTAAGGTTTAAAAATGCTTCACAATCAAATTTTATTGTGTACTTTAACTTTATTTTATTTAAATCACAATTCAAGCATGATAAAATCAATCTACCAAATCTTTCAAGAGATATTTTTTCTCTAATCATTCTTCCATTACAACTCCCCCCATCATAATGCATTGTCTCATGCATATCTTTTACAATATCTCCACCAAAATAAAAATAATAAAAAGTTTTCTTTAAATAACTACTTTCCATCGTACCCAATAACATCAACCTACAATAAGCAAAATAAAATGTCATAATATATCACTCAAAAACAAGTTACTTTTGATATCAGTGATTTTTGTATCAGTGATACTGTGACAACATTCCATATTAAAATATGAACACTCGATAATAAATTCTCACACTTTCAGTTGCAAATGTCAAATCTTCATGCCAAATCTTTAGAATGTCATTTGCAAAACACCATTCCATCTTTTTCTTATGAGTATCATTTTGCAAGAAATCACAGCTTACTTGAGTCAATCTTTTTGTTCAGATGCAGGGACTTGCCAAAAAAAAAATCTAAAACACACCAGCCAAACAAACTCACGTAGGTAGAGAATAGGAGCTTACTTGAATTAATAATTAAGGCAACTCCACCTCTTTCAAGTACAACTCTATTTTAAAAATGGGTATTCTTCAACTTGTCTCTTTACAACTTATATGTAACTCTCATTAATGGCTTGAAGGAATTTACTTGAGAAAAAAATGTTGAAGCTAATGAGTGTGATGTTATATTTAATTATAGAGATATTTTAATCATTTTTATTATAACTTTAATTTGTAAAAAAAGATATAAATTTTATTGACCTTTTAAAATTACTTAAAATTTATTTAAGTTTAATTTTTTTTTTTGAGATTTGATTGTCATTTGCCCTTCTTTTTTCTTGTTTGTTCAAGTCAAAGCGCCGGTGTCAGATTTTGTCGTGCCTGGCTTTAGCTTACCTGATCTCAAATTGATACAATCAGGTACCCCTTGTGCCAGCCAACATGATTTTGTTGCGCACTGACTTTGGTGTTTCTTCCTGATATTTCTTTGTTCAATTTTGAATGAAATGATTCCATTTTACATCAATTAAAGTTTATCTTTTGCCTATTCAAAGAAAAATAATCTATACTATAAGCAAAGTCTATTCCTTAATCTTTATTTATTTTGTTTAAAAATATAAAATATTTTTAATCAAATCTCACATTTAATAAAATAGTTATTTATTTTTAAATTAATTCTATTTTTTATATTTATTCATATTAAACACTCTATAATAAATATAAAATTACTATCAATAGAACACTTTAAAAAAAAATAATGATTACACCTTAAAAAATTAAAAATACCTCATTTTTTTTAACATCCAACTCTTTAAAAAATGTCTTATATTTTTGAGTGATGGGAGTATATAATAAAAAAGTTAATAATTTTTTCTACAGTATATGATTATCAATACGCTAATTTATCTAAATTTTGGATTATCCGTGAAAAATTCTCTTGATGTTTGAAAGTAACCATTACTTCCCTAAAAGCTTTAATTTCTTACCGTTATTCTATTCATTATCCCAGTTAACTAAGGTTTATCAAGTGCATGTAAATTTAGATTCAAAATTTAAGAGTGTAAATTTGGGAATAACCTATATAGAAATATAAAAGTTTAGAAAGGTCCATCATCGCGTAAGAGATTATGGAGCAGAGTTTCGATTAATTTCTCATATATTAACAGTGTTTGAATTCTGAAATATATATCCTCCCGTCATCCTCACTATCCTCCTTAACACTCACGCAAAGGCTTTGAGTTTTGTGGTGCGTGTGGGTAATACAACTACGATTAGCGATATTAAAAAATAAAACAATAGCGTTAATGATTCAGGTTTGGCGCGTTCGGTTTTGATGCTATCATCACGTGATGAGTAATCTGGCGGTCCAAATTTATCAGTTTTATTTTTATATTTTAATATATATTTATTAAATTATAAAATATAAAATTTTAATAAATATATTTTATTATCAATCTAGATAACACAGATTTAATTTGCATGAATCCAGTCTGTCTAAAGCATATCTGGATAATCAATTTATAAATTTTTTTTTTAAAAAATTAATATTAAATTGCAGCACCCAAATTAAATCTACGTTGCCTAGATTGATGATAAAATAAATTTATTAAAATTTCATAATTTCTTATAATGAATATAAAAAAATTAAAAAATAAATTTTATAAAACCAGGACCGTCCAGATGCTCACTGAAACCGAACCCCGGGTTTGGCAGTATTATTATTTCATGTTAAAAATAAAAAATAAAAACAAGGAGTTAAAAACACAGCTAGCAGCTGACACTCTACTCCGGGATAATCTAATTATCTAAAGAAGAATGTCGACCTTGTTTCGAACGGCTAGCTGGCAGAATGAAATTGTATTGACAATGACATGTTAACTCAAGCACACAGATGAGATTTATACTTTGCAAACGTGGTTTTATTTAGTTGATTCCGACCTCTGGCATTACAACAAGTAGAGATGCTTATTGCATATTGTTTGATCAGCAACTATCTACACATCGTGGCTCTATGGAGAAGCGGTGAAGTTGTAGCTGGCACATTTAGCGCCGCGAGAGAGCAAGGAAGGGCTAAACCCGAGCATGGACCGAGCCAGATCAAACACCACAAGGTAGTCCTGCAACTGACGCACCCCTATAGTAATCGCAGCTCTAGGCTTGTCTCCTCCATTCACGAACCCTAGACACCTCACCCCTGGCCTCACCTCCACCATCAAGTTCTCTCCCGATATTCTCCACACTGCACTAGCCTTGTTGAACACCAGCTCCACGTCCGGAACCTTGTTCATCTTCTCCCAGTCCATGCATAACCCAAACGGTTCTACCGCCTTCACCTGGCCCTGTTTGGGAATCTGATTGGCATATACCTGGACAAGAGCTTCGAATATTGAGCTGTGCAGAAGTGTATAAGGCGAGGCGGTGGTGATCATAGTTCCTCCGAGACCGCGTCTGGTAGTCTTCGCGAGTGCTGATACGAGAGATGGGCTCACCGGGACCACCACCTGGTTGTTAACTTTTATAGACGTGACCCGTACATGGTACTCTCCTTGCGGGGTAACTGTGAGTGGGGTGTAAACCAAATCACGGGAAATGTCCAGGCGAGGACGTAACAGATTTGGTTGTTCCCCGAAGAATATAAACCCGTTGGACCCGGGGTCACCGGAGAGGCACAAGGTGAATCTGCGTTGTAACCCGAAGTGGGAGGCGAGTTGAAGCGGGAGAGAAATGGGCTCATTGCCCAGTCCAGCCACGCCCTGAACGATATTGGGCAGGCCCTTCCGGAGCAGGGAAGAGGGCGAGCAGGCAAAGAGGAACTGGGGGACGGTGACCATGGAACCGGGTTTGGAGGGAGCGAGTGCGGGCGGAGTTTGGATGGCGAGGAGGTCCTGGGCGAGCTCGGAGACGCCGGATTGGAGAGTGACGGGGTTGATGGACACGAGGCCACAAGTATTGTTGTGGCAGCCGGGCCTGGCAGCGGAGGCGCAAGAGTAGCACAAATGGGTGTTGGCTCGAGAGCAAAGAGTGGAGTGGCAGAAGGGGGCTGTGTAAGTGGAGGACAGGTAGTGTTGGTCGCAGGTCACCCACAAGAACCGGCTGTTCAGGTCGACCAGAACCGGGACCCGGACGAGAGGGGTTCTCTTGTGGATATAGGCCCAATGAAGACCCGACGAAGCATCTTTGAGCACCGGCAAGACCAGAAGATTAGGCTTGGGAGGTTGGTAGGACGACTCTGCAGAAAAGAAGAAAAGAGAGATGAGAAGCAGAAAACGGAGGAAAGAAGAAGCCATAGTCGTAGTGAGAGGAAAATAATAACTCGTTTCTGATGAGGGGTAGTGGAGGGTGGGATGGTGCGTTTAATAGCCGTGGAGGGCAGTAAGAAGAGTTTGGTCATTGGTGAAAGAGCGGGAGGCATAAGTTTAATTCTGGTAAATTTTAAGGATAGAGATAGGGATGGAGGGATTGGCAGGGAGTAATAGGTGGCGAGGGAGGAGATGGTTCAAGCTGCAGTATGCAGAATGGCAAGGGTTTGGCATTGAAGCCGTGTGGTGGTGCATGCATGCACCGTAATTGTCTGGGCTCTGGATTGTTGCCTGCCTCTGCCTCACCCTTTTCTTCTCTCACCGTGAATCCCTCAATCATGCTTTCATGTAACAACAAGCATATACCTGAAGCAACAGCAGGTATATATTCCCTTATTTATTAAATACTACTTCTTTAAACAACAGTTGCTTCATGATCTAGTCGGCACGAAATGACCAATGTAACCTTCTCATTCTCTGTTTACTACCGTTAACTCCCTGCCTCTGCCATTTTCATTCATCGGTCCAGAGCAGCAGCATTCCGAGAAAAGCCCCTGATTTTTTATTTTTTAAATGCATTCTTTTGGTCACATAGCTAACGCTCTGCTAACCTTTTCTGTAACTATTCTCGCCTTCATTTGCGCCATAGCCTCTCTATCTGACCTTAATTCTCCCTCTCTATCTGCTCAAGTCCAGGTTACTCTCCCTCTTTTCTAATAATTTCCCCTTCACGGACCTATGCTTACATTTTTCGATTCCTCAATCCTGTATGATTTGATTGGTCTATGTCAGCATTTGCCAGTTGTGGATTTCGGTGTTGAACATCAACTGGTTTCAGAAGCAGCCCAATGGAAACGACGAGGTATTTTTTTTGTTTTGGTTTTTGACTGATAATTCGTGTTTCGCTTTCGTTACAAGTGTTGTGCTGGTTTAAGCCTTTAAAGGACATGGCTTGCATTTGTCGATTATTCTATGTACGTGCGTGATTAGCGCAAAAGGATTTTTAATTTCATGTCATCCTTGACTAATACAATCCATATGTACTAATTTACAAACTCAATATAAATATTGTAGCTTCGTATATTTATTCTGCTGTTATATTTGCGGCTTCATCTTATGCATGTATCTAGCAACTATGCAAATTTAGAGTTTGCTTGCCGATTGTCATTGTTTAGACCTGATACGATCATGTTTGCCCAGTTAAGTCTGGCAATGGGTTATAAAATGCATGCTAACACGACCGACCTGCTTTACTAGTTCAATAATCATGGAAAATGATATCTCCTGAGGTATAAGAGTTCATCCAAGGTTGGCTTTTCCGCTTTCCTTGTCGCCTTTCATGGAGACTGGGGCATTTCCAAATGACTAGTTTGACGTTTGATGATCATGTAAGGATAATGTATAGCATTACATTACAATTTACACGTCATGAATTTGAATCGTGTTGGCATTTAGTTGAATAGGCAATGTGCTGAAAGCCTTGAAGTAAAATATACGTGAAAAGTTTTAGGTGATTATAACAAAAGTGGCAAAACTTCTTAAAACATAATGCATTGAGCTGCCAATTTGATTAACGATGCCCAGCCTTCTTAGTTGCATTGAACTATAGAAGTTACCCTACTAGATTGTAGGATTGGACAGATCTATATCCAGCCTTTAGTACTTGAATAAGGGCAGGTTAAAGGCTACATGTTCCTTGGGATGGGAGAGCTTGGGTAGATTGATTATCTATACTTATTGGACGGTGAATTATTTATGCAAACAGCCAAATATTGGTTTTATAGATTCTCTAGGATGTGAGGATGGACTTGAAGAAAAGAATATATGTTGTTATGGGCTTTCAGCATCACACATGGAGTACAAGTACTGGGGAAATAACTAATTAAAGTTAGAGCTTCACAGTTATTGAAGAAATCATTTTGAGTTTAAAGGACCTCATAGACATAGATGTAGGACCTGTTCCTAGTCTGATGAAGTTAGATTGTTAATGGATGTTTTACTGATGGTTGTCCCTGATTAAACTTTTCCTCACCATATCCTGAATGTTTTTAATGTAACCCAAATAAGTTATATCAACTTATTGTAGATAAGTAAACATGAAAAGAGATCCCAAACTTTCTAAATGCATGTTAACTGGCTTCTGTCTTGTGTATCATCTACATCATATATAAATGTGTCTTAAACCACCTCAATGTGATGCCTTGCCTTCCTATATTCAATTGTCATCTTTTTACATAGTTGAACTTGAACTGAAAAAGCCTTTTTATTTTTTTCAGGTCAGCCTGACACTGAACATATCAGCAGACTTACAATCTCTTTTTACATGGAACACAAAACAGGTTATTGACGTGAATTTGAATTTATCATTGTAACTTGTAATGGTTCTTTTGTATTTGTGCTCTCATTTGCTAAGATAATGGGAGGAATAGGTGGAGAAGAGTGAAAATTTACAATGTATTGATGTGATGCATGTCTTAAGTTTACAATGCAAGGCTTTCCCTCATTTCCTCTTCTTCATCTCTTCCTTGTGCCCAAGTTATTTGATTTCCATTTAGTGGGCTGGGATCTAGTGTTCAAGGTGGCTGAGCTGCTGTTATTATTTTTCACTTTCGGTTCTGCTCTGTTACTTTCTCCCTCTATGTATATCATGATTTTGTAGCACTTTGCTGTCTGCAAAGTTACTAATGATGTGAAAAGCGTTGGTTCATTTGATTGGATATTTGCAAATAATGCAAATGGTCTTGACTTTCATCAAATCAATAATATGGAATGTAGAAGCTCAAACCTGTATAGGGACAGTGCTGCCTCTTATTATATGCTTACGGGTGTGTGTATTTCTTGCTGCTGAATATGAAACCCCAAAGAATGCCTTGAATCAGGTTAGATTTTGATCTTTTGGGCTGCGTCTGTCATTTCAACATATCGGTATTCTAATTTTTAGACATGGTTTTGCATTTTATAATCTCTCTCTTGCCGATCTGCCCCCTCCTTGTTGGTTTAATTTGAAGTTTTCCTACATAATATAAAGATGTTGATTTTGCTATTGATACGCCAATTTATAGATATCTTTGTGGGATGGTATTATACCTTCCAAGGAGCATGCCAAGTTTGTGATTCACACATCGAATACCGGCTTATTGATCAGGTACACAATTCTTCATGGCTGTTATTCTTTAATGCATGATATACTTCAGCGCCCAAGAATTGACTTTCCCTCATCTTTTTGGCCAGGGAAGCAATTTTCGTGGCAAAGAATTTAACTTGACATTGCATCGGCATGTCATATGCCCAAGACTGGCAAAATGTTTGCCAACAAAACGGCCATTCCTGGCTTCCGGATGCCTGAGGAATATAGATGAGGGCTCCTTTTTGGTGCTGTTACTATTAATGCTGTAACTTAAGAATTTCTATAACGGATATAGAAGCCTATCCTAGAAAACTAGAATCAGGGATAAGAAATGCCGATCGGGAAAATTTGCAAATCAATTACTATTTCATTCTTCGACAGAAAAAGATTTTCACTTTGCCTTGAGTAGGACTGGACATTTCTTTTTTTTTTTTCCTCTCTGAATCTGTTAAGCTAAAACGAATTAAATTAATATTGTTGAAAAACTATTTTCAACTGGAAGAGCTTAATAATATCTTTAGCGTGTTCGGATCTTGGAATGCTGTTAATTGTGGTCAATGGTTTGAAAATGGTAAAAGCTTGTTTTTGATGGATTAGGTTTAGGTGCTTAACGAATGAACTGTGATGTGATATGGACGGTTCAACTTGAACGATAATCCGGCATTAGTTTCTTTGTTCAACTTCCATAAAGCGCCTCCACGGGACAGCGACATAAATTTCCTCGCTTTTTTCATGCGCCAGAAGTTTGTCATCAAGGATGAACTTCTGGCATTTAAAATAGTAATTTTTTAGCCGAAAAAAACCTTTTTTTTTAAATGCATCATTTCCTTCTCAGCTGGCGTTGGATTTTCGGGGACTTTCCCCGAATAGATTGGCTGTGTAAATGAATTGCATGACAAAGAGCAAACCCCTTTTTCCCCCAGTCACTAGCCAAATGGACTTCCCTTAAATGAATTTTTGACAATTGCCTCCACTCCCAATCTCTCACTATTGCTCAGTATGCTCTAAATTATGGCTCCCATCATCACCATCTTCAATCATCACGTTCACATGGGTTACATTTTCTAGGCAAAATTGATAAATTTAGAAATGAAAATAAAAATATTGGGAATATGATTGAGATGGGGCATGATAGATTTTAGCAATACAAGGTTTAATCCTCCTATAGGATTGAAAAAATTTACTCTAGTGTAAACAGCACTACGATACAGTTCCTACACATCGACCAAAACGAGAAAAGAGAAGATTCGGTTACTCGAAACTCGATACAAAGGTAACTCATTTTTCAACTCAAGATCCATTTCTTCAACCCGTCTTTATATAAATATGGCAAACACATGACTGAATCATGCCCCTGCGTTCCTACGGCCAACACGAGCAACAAAACCAGCCTTGATGGGAGCAACTGATCTCCCTGATCCACACTGCAGTAAATCAACACATGTATTAGATTTCATGTAGCATATCCGAGGGAAAAAAGTGTACCCAAAAGATCACGTGTAATCACATCAATTGGTTAAAATACAATCCACATTGATGGAAAACCATACCTTTCACAAACATTATGAATAGAAACTATAGTGATTCAATATTACTTAGTAACAATAGACTACTAGCATCCCGTAAAAGGAAGGAGATGGCACATGCAAGAAGATTTTACCTTCTCACATCGGAGAAAGAACAGACGGTTCTCCTTTGAAAGTATTGTGTCTGGACTCTTGCATCCAATGCAAATGACATATTCATCTGAGAGAAATTTCAATCAACAATCTCAAAATGATCAGAAATACACATCAACACAATAAACAAGATCCAGAAGGAGTGCCTCATCATTCTATTCCATAAAGAAGACTGAACAGAAATGCAAGCACAAACTCCAGATTTATTCAAACGTTCTATTTTTACAAATTACTGCTAACGATACACGCACCCAAAACACAATATTTAACCCATTAAGAGAATTTCTATGCT